TGAATATCATGTTGAATCGTTTTTGGGATAATGAAATCCATGTGAAAAAACGAGTACTGAATCCCTGTGAGTTCATATATGACTTGAACTATGTTGTGAAATGATCGAGTACGCCCATAATTATGTCGAAATCGAAAATGAATTTCGAAAGTTTTAAATCTTGATTTTTGGAAAAGTCTAGAATTTCTTTAAAATCAAAGTGGGGCATTACAAGAAGAAATCGAGCCCAACTGCTCATACACCAGTGAGGTCCGCGGCGTGTGGTGGTCGGAGAAGGGCCGACGAGGTACGTCATGGCGGAATTCACGTCGAACTTACTTCGACGGGACGACGTCAAGTGGCGTGTTGTAAACGTTGTCGACCTTAGTTTTCTGATCTCAGTCGGAGGCGGCAGTCGTGGAACTCGGCGATGGAGAAGACGGTGGAGGATACGATGTCGGATGAGACGAGTGTCGCTGGTAACAGACGACGGTCGGCGTGCGGAGGTAGAGTAGGCGAGGCGGAGTGAGGCGACGCAAGAGGAGGGTGGTTGTCGGGGGTACGCCGCCGTGTGTGTTGTGTGTTTGAGGTGTGTCATGTGTGTGTTGTTTGTGCGTGTGAAGGGAGAGAGAGTTTGTGAGGTGGGTGGGTGTGGGTTGTGGTTGGACCGGTGTTGCGGTCAAGTGGAGGTGTATTAATGTGGAGGAGAACCTACATATTTGAGTGAAGTGTGGAAAATTACCACGATGCCCTTAATGAATGTATATTTTTGACTCATCTATCATTATATGAAAAGAATAACCTTTTACAAATTTAGAAATATTTTCCCGCCAAAACCATTAATTATATCCTATGTTTGTCCCATTTTTGTTATCTTTTTCTTTGTTTATTTGTTAGTATTTTTCCCCCGAGTTTAGGTTTTTATTAGTCAGTTTGGTCCTTCTGTCGTTCTTTTCGCTTGTTAGTCGTTCATTTATCGTTTTCGATATTTTCTTCTCTTTTTGCTCGTTTTTTTTTTTCGGGTGTTGACCTTCTATCTTAGGTGGTGTGCAAATCAGGCGTTTTATCTCACATGTGGAGCTATTTGAGCAACCGAGCATTAAGCGGAATTTCGGACGGAATTTCAGTCACAAGTGCCAGCTTTCGCGACCTTTCCCGCGCCGCGACACTCGTCGCGCCGCGTCACAACCCTGTCCCGAGACCTCCGCGCCGCGACGACAACTTCAGAGAGTCCGATTCCAGTGCCGCGCCGTGCCATCCTTCGCGCCGCGGAGCCGCTCTCCTTCGCGCCGTGATCACTCCCTCGCGCCGCGGAGCTGCTCCCCTCCGCGCCGTGCCACCCCTGCCGCGCCGCGAAGCAGTACCTCGTCGCGCCGTGATCGCTATTCGCGGCGCGGTGCGTTATTTTAATACCAGATCGACTATTTTATGCGGGGGCGATAGGGTTGGAGAGATTCATTCTGTACTCTGTTACTTTTGAACGCTCTCTGGAGAAAACACATCTTTTCCTTTGAATTTTCTTCTCTTGGTTTTAGATGTAATCTTGAAGGTGAATAATCTCAAGATTTCGTTTTCGGATTTAGCTTTCGGATTTGGATTGCTCTCGTTTTCAACATTGGTTTTCTTATCAATCGTAAGCATCTTTTCTCATTTAATTATGGTGTTTTGTGCTTGGATTGTTGTGAGTTCTTATGTTCAAATTACTATGAGTAGCTAAATCTTTTGTTGGGGATAGGAGATATTCGTATTGGTTCGTTCGTGATTCATGTATGTTTGCTTACCATTCAATCTATTCGAGTTGTCCTTAATCTAGGGTTAGATGCTTGATCACCATTCTAATCTAATTAATCAATTTGTAGAACCGAAAGGGGAGAAATTGGTTGAACGTGGCTCGTCTAGAATAGGCTTGTTCGTCAATGTATTGCCTATGTGTTGATTGTTCTGATAATGAATTGCTTGTGTTTGTTTCCTTGTTACGAACAGTTATTGAGAACAAATTTCTAAGCAAGTAAGTTATTAAATCTCTTAACCGAGTGGATAAGCATTACATAGTTATTGAGAACCATATGCGAGTATCTCCGATTCCTCAACTTCCCCAACCTTATTTCAATCTCGTTTGGATTTGATAGTTCGTTTGTTTTCATTTATTTATTTGAGAATTTGTAGTTGATAATTAAAAAAAAACCAACGATTTGAGTTAGAGTGTTAGATTTTGTTCCTTTCTTTTTGTGTGATCGAATAGTCGTGCAATTTATTCCGGCTAACCTTCCTTGAGTACGACCCGGTGTTGAATCTTTCGATTCTACTCCGGTTAAAAATATTTACAACATCCTACATATAGTAATTGTTGGACAAATCTGAACAGGCGAAAAAATCGGCTCATTAATTGTGTAAAAATGTGTTTCTTTTTTTTCTATTTTTTAGTTTATCAAAACCATTGTTTGGCAATAAATATTTGTTTTTCTTTTTCCTATTTTTTAGGTTATCAAAACCTGTTTGACAATTCTGATTAGGCAAAAAAATCGAAACATTTAAATCTGAACAAAAAAACTCGGTAAGTTTGAAAAATAATTGATAGCTTATAAAATCTCATAGCATAAATTTCTATCTCTTATCTGTTACAAAATCCCATTGCATACGTGTCTCACGTGTTTAAAAAATATCATCCCTTATCTATACTAGGGCTGGCATTTTTTGACCGAAAATCGAAAATCGAACCGAACCGACGAAAAAAAATGGAACCGAACCGACGGATTTATAACGGTAACTGACTATCGGTTACCGAATTGTTATCGGTTCCGAAACCATAAAGATTCGGTTTTACCGAACCGAACCGATAAGGAAAAAAAAAAAACTTAATAGTTAATACTTATTACTCATATATCTATTCACTCTCCGTGTTGTGTGTATATATATATATTAACTATTTCACTCTCCTCTTAAGTTAATAAATAAAGTTAATTTCACACAAACAATTCACACTTCATAGAAAATCAAACAAACTTCTGGCCTTCTTTACAACCGAAGGAGATTAAGGTTGCAACTTGCAAGGACCAACATCAACCAAAGCCAGTGGTGGTGGTGGTTTTATACCCTCTAATGTTGCAGATATGGCCGAGGAAGATGCGGATCAGATCTAGACCCAAAATTGACGAATTCGGCTTCTCGCTAGCGGTTCCCAGTCCGACTACGGATGAACGGCCACTGACCCGATTTGATGAGTTGACGACGAGAGGGCGTACTCGAACTGAGTTTGATTCTCAATTTTTTGGGTGCAGAGTTCGGGGCTAAACCTAAATTTCTTGTTGTTCTCGATCCGGAACCGGTAATTGTTGAAAATTGTATTTGTCTTGTGGTTGATTATTTGTGGTTGATTATAACTGATATCTGGATTTGCATTTGTGGCTTGGTGTAGAATTGTATTGATTGAGGAAAGGTGTTGATCTAGGAAAATCTGTGCGAAGAAAAGCCGAGAACGGTTTGTTCTTTTTATATTCTTTTTCTTTCTTTTAATTCGGTAAAAACCGAAAAGAATGAGTTATCGAACCGATTTTTCAGTTAACGAATATTCGGTAACCGAACTCGTATCGGTTCGGTTTCGGTAGCAAATTTTTAAAAACCGAATTATTCGGTTCGGTATCGTTTATGGTTATCGGTTTGGTTACCGAACCGATACCAGCCCTAATCTATACAGACTTAAAAAAATAAAATAAAATAGAGACTAATTCATAATTTTTACTAGAAATCCATTATCTACTTTAAAAAGCTAATTTTCATCAGTCTAATTACTAATATTTTTACAAATATTATAAGTTAACAATACATCATCATAAAAATGTAAAAAGTATAATAATAAATTTGAAATGGTGTGTAATAAATTTTTTTTAGATTGAAGTAACGCCATAAATTCGATATCACCTGACCTAATGTATTTATTAAATTAGGCTTATTTTAGATACTTTAAACAAATTGCTTAGACATTTTTTTTTAACATATTCATCTATACATACATATATATATATATATATATATATATATATATATATATATAGATATATATGTATATATATATATATGTATACACATATACATAATTGATGTTAAATTTAAATATTTGTAGACACCTTTTCTTTACAATATAGTCTAGAAAAATCTTTTTTACACAATGTTAAATTCAAATGTTTTTAGATACGTTTTCCTTCTAAAATTGTTTAGAAAAATTGTAGGTGACTTCATACCTTTTAAAAATAATATAGAAAATTTTGAATACTTTTACATATACTAATGTAATATTTTAGGTGTTTTTAATATTAAACATACAAATTTTATATTCTCTTATCGTCCTTTTTAATTTATAATTATTATTTTTCATACTCTTTTTAAATAGGATCAATAGTAGTTTCCACTTTCGTCATTGAATGACTCAAACTCGAGGTCTATTTATAATATTGTTCCCGTGCATCGCACGGGGTACACACTAGTTTATATTCCGTTGGATCATACGATCTAATGACTACGATATATATATATATATATATATANNNTATATATATATATATATATATATATATATATATATATTATAAACAACATTTATACTATTTATAATTTATAAAATTTATATAATTATCCTTAACGAACCGAATATCGATAATTTCGAATCGAATAGCTACAAAATCGAATTTGACTTCGTTTAACTTTAACTTTCGGATATAAACATTATTCGTAACAACCTTAAACCAACAAACGACTCATGAGCTCTAATGGCATACACAAGGAAGAGCAACAAAAAACAAAATAACAATAATTTGATATAATAAAATTACAAATATCAGCAAAGGCAAGAACAGGAATGGATCCTTGGCATACCATAAGTTTCTCTCAGAAAACTAAGATGTTATATAGAGAACGGGTTTCTATCTAGCCGAATCACATATTGTTTCACCCAATTCATTCTCACATTCAAATTTAGATTCACCTGAAATGGCAACATTAAGAAAAGACATGATTTACCCTTTTTCTCATTCTTGATGATGCATTGTTTCAGATTGGTCCCCATCAGAATCCCCATCCTCCTCATCCTCCTCCTCAGTGCTATCATCGTTAAACAAATTGCTTCTCAAACTCTTCATCTCACTTTCAGCATCATTATTCTCTATCAATTTTATGTCACGGTGTTTTACCATGATCCAGCGCAGCAAGCGGTCCTCCTTGTTTAGGTAGTGCAGCTCGCTGTTGAGACTTGGTGGGGCCATTGTCGTCATCTGCATCAGTTGACCCTACAAAATAGAGCATCCTCATCGAATTAAACACGGAGGATATGCGCGATCCTGATATTCAAGCTTTCTTCTCAATAGGAGAAATTACTGTCTAAAATTTTACATTGATGAAACTTAGATTATGGTACACTTCCAGCATAATATGATGACAAGAAAGTGTTAAACTATCACCACGTCCAAAGTAGCCCAAAGAGTAAATTTGTAAAATAATCATAATAGCTGTCTTAGAGCCAAGTGCCCATTAACAGTAGAAATTTTGCCATCGCATGTCAGGAGAAAGAAAAAAAAAATAAATAAATTTTTGAAATTACAAAAAATTCAACCTTTTGAGTGTAGGATCCTTAACAATTCATATATAGAGTTCACTGATGACATGTACAGAAAGGGTGGGTACTGGAAGAATAACCATCAATAGATGGTTCAAAACATGCTGTTACGACATTGTGTGGAAGCCATAGGACTATAGAAGCATAGTATTAGTAGCCAATGGTAACCTGAGGACCATAGGACTATACAAGGAGACAAGCGAGGCCTCGCTAACATAACGTACCAAACTTTAAACAAAATATATAGATGATGCAATTACATGTTCAAGTCCAAATTACAGAATAAAACTCAGATATGCCAAGACGACAAGTCAAAACTATATAACATAAGTGTTAAGCAAATACGCCAATGGAAACAGAAAGAGAAGAAGGATATGAGAAATAATTGGTACTCATGTTGTCAATTCCCAGTATAAGACCTGAAGACAATGTAAATCATCTTAGTTGGCAACAATGGAGTAAATAAAAATAGAAAAACTAAAAGACAAAAACCAAAAATAGAAACAGAAAAAAGAAAAAATAAAATAAAAACAGACAATGAAATTAAAAGCAACTGAAAAGTCTGATAGTAAACAATGTTAAAATGAAAAAAATATAAGTATAAACAAAATATATAAAAGAGAGAGAGAGAGAGAGAGAGAGAGAGAGAGAGAGAGAGAGAGAACAGAAATAAAAGGGAGGAGAGGGAAGAACATATGTGCAAAAATGCGCAACGCAGGGACTAAGGAAAACTGGAGGCGCACGTACATAGATCGCGTTCATAGAAGGCCAAAATTGAGTAGGACTAGCTGGTGGTCCTTTTGATTTTGAAACATTGCAAGAATAAGTTTTTTTGCCATAATTCTTGAAAACCAGATATCTAGTTGGTTTGGCTAGACCTGCGGCGATGCGATTTGAGATCAAATCTGTTGCCTCTCGCCATGTTGGTGCCGTTTTAACACTTAACATAAAAGGTTCTTTGGACTGAGACTGAATGAATTTCTTCTCAATTAGAGATAGTAACACCCAAATTAATGATGCTTACAAACTGGCATACACCATAGCATTATTCCACAAGAAGAAAAAGGCTCTATACATTAACTTCATTCTAACGATAAACATTCATAAGACCCATTATCAAGCAAGTGCCTGTGCCTCCGGACAGTACAAATCTATGCCATAGAATGGCCGTAGAAAAATCAGTGGAACCAATAATGACTAAATCCTTCAAGTGATCTCCATCAAACCAAGATCTGAAGACTAATGTTGGGCACCAAAGAAAAAAAGTTGAACACAGAAAGGGCAAAATCAACTAATTACGGGATATGTTACTGTCTCACTGGTTTCTCAGGTAAACTAAATGGTTTTATCAACAATACTTTTTCCTTATTTGAAAAATAAACTCCAAAAAAGCTCCAGATGGTGATGAAAAAAGATCCATTACACTAAACTCATTTTGTTCCAAAGTGATGAAGTTTGATGGTACACTAAACTCATTCGACTTTGCTGAGATCATTTTGTTCAAACAAGAATACTCTGCCAGAAATCAAATTCACCAAAATCATTATGAGAAATTGTAAATGGTTTGCTAGATAACCACTCTCCCTCCTATTTTCATTCAAATAACAATGGCACGTGGCAAACGGACGCCAAGTTACAGAATGAATGAGTAATGCCCTGTAGCTAAACTAACCAACTTCGCAAAAAACTCAAACATTAACTAATATAAATAAAACACAAGTCAAGCCATACAATTGGAGTATTTACTAGCAATAAAACAAAACAGAAAAAAAAAAAAAAAAAAAAAAAAAAAAAAAAAAAAAAAAAAAAAAGCAAGCCCACAGGAAATCTAACAAACAAAGAAGCAGACTCATGATTTCACTGAAACAACGTATCGTTGCAGGGAAAGAAACTCTTACTTGATAGTATCGTCCGTCAAGTTTCTTTATGCCATAACCCAAATGAACCTCTCCAAAGGACCTCATTTCAGTCACCACTCCATTTCTTCTGTAGATGTGCTTTCCTACTCGTGCAAGGAGATCAATCATGGCCTCCCTGCTCACGTTCGGTTTCAACAGAAGCATGCAGTCATAAAGTGGCATTTTCTTTTTCTCCCAATCCCCCTTCTCGGCTGGAAAAAAATGTATCATTTAAGCCACAAATGAATCGGGAACTACTCATGCTAAGTATTGATTCAACACAACTCTGATTCATGCTAACTCGGTTCGTTAATTTTAAATTGCTAAAAAACAAGATGTAAGGATAGCAAAAGCTTTTATGAGCTGGTTAAACATAGGAGGTCCAAGAAATAAACCCGAAAATTTCTTATTACAATATTCATCATCACACTATTTCCAACATTCTGCTTATCAAAAACAAATCAGATGCACAATTAATCTTCTACCTTTCGCATCACGTCTACAACAATTACGATACGCTTTTCAGTGCAAGGCAAGAACACAAGAGCGGAATTGGCCATACTTACACCATAAAATTCAAACCAATCAAAATAATCTTCTGTTTTCATATTTACAGATATGCTTAACCAATCGAAATGCTGTGATGCACCAATTTGTACCGAATGATAAGAGCTGATAACAATTTTCTGAAGAAATATAATAACCTGGAGAAATCAGAAGATAAGCTCCGAATTTGTAGCAGCAAAGATCGTAAATGACACTGAGAGAGAAAGGATTACCCGAGTCAAATTTCTTATTTGAGGGTGCTTTTGAATGCTCTTAAACCCTACTCTCATGAGAACGACAGCGGCAGAACTTCTCCATTTTTTTCATCTACTTCATATCGGCTATTTGTTTATATTATAATAATTAGTATATAAGAAAATAATTATGCAACAAAATTCAATGAAGAAATAAAATTGTTTATTTTTTAAATTGTGAACGAATAAATATACATCAAGAATTAAAAGAGTTAGTAATATTATTTGAAATATTAGAAAAAAATACAAAAAGAATAATTTTTTTGGTTATAAATGTTTTTATTAAAACACATCATTTTCATTCATTACACACTTTTAACCCTGGTAATGTAAGTGGACCAGAGACTGATTTAGGATATGTTTGGTAGATAATAATAAGCTAGCTTATAGATTATTTGGTTAGCTTATAAATTTTTTATATTTAAATAAGTTCTGTTTGATAGGACAGACTTATTTAGAAAGCTCGAACTTATCTCATAAGCTTGTTTGGATAATTTTTCAAATAACCTCGTTGAAATTTTTATTTCAGTTTAGCTTATCAGCTAGTTTTACCAAAATATGTTTATCATAAAGGCTAGTTTTTCAGCTATAAGTCATAAGTTATAAGCTATAAACTCAAAAATTACTGATAAACTATCAACTACCTTATCAGATAGTTTTACCAAATATAATCTTAGCTAGCTAGATACGACTGTATATTAGACATGTATGTCCCTGACTATTATAAGGAGTTATCATAAAGTATACCTTGAGGGGGAAATGTTTCTTTAGGTGAATGACAATTTGACATCGAAATGGGTCAACAATATTTATTTATGTACCGCCTCGATTTTCAAAAATAAAAATATGACATTTAAGGGGATGTTAACGAATTTTGAATAACATTTGAACCAGAAATAACATTTTAATTAAATTTAATCAAGACTCGACTAAGAGTTTGCTGGGATCTATGAAAATCGTCGTAATTATGCGAGTCATGAATTAATCGATGAATAAACATGTGCGCAGCATATTTATAGGTTAGCGCATAAAAGCTACGACTTAAAATTTGCAGTCTTTGAGACGTTGTAGATTTCATATTGATGGATATCGTCTGATTTTTCACTCACCGGGAATTGCCTCGCCAAACGTCCCGGGGTCGCTGACAATTTCGCGAGTCGTGCAAAATGTGCGGATGGCGTCGAGTGGCTGTCGGGATTGCAGCTGGTTGTGTGTTGGTCAACACGGGTGCTGGGTGGGAGTGGGTTGTGTGAATTTCGTGGGTCTCGTTTTTCAGTAGGCGGCAATATGCGCTGGGAGAGGGGCGCGAGCGTGCGACGTGCGTTGGGAGCGGGACACGGACGTCACGTTTCTCGTCGAGACACGCTGGGAACTGCGGGTTGCTGGTAGCGTCGGGTCACGTCGAGCGATGCACGATGGCCAACGGTGGTCGAGTGCTTGACTACCTTAGGACCTTCTATTGATTATCTTAACACCTTTAGAACTCCCTTTGCAGGGAAGAGACTCTAGATCTCTCTTATGTCTAAAGTGTATGAATGTCTTCCAAACATAAGGGAGGTGTATTTTTATGCTTCAATAGGGACCCTAAGGAGGCATTAAGTTGGGTTTCTCGTATGTGAGTCTAAATGTGGGCCAAGCCAACTCTACTTATATACTAATAATACAATCATTCCACTAAAGTAGTATTTTTTGCAACTATGAATTTAATTTTTGAATTACAATTTAAGCCTCGATTCTAAATTACTCGAATTACCTCCCATGTTTAAGATTTTCCCATCAATCAATTCGATTACTGACAATCATATCAGTTGATATCTTGTACCTAAACTAGCACCACTATGCATTATTATTATTATTATGTAAGAACTTAATCCACCGCAGAGTTTAATATAATAATTCTTCTGAGCTCACTTTGTGGACATCATCAACCTCGCCATCAAAAGTACATGGTGAGCGTAAATAGAATAATAGCGCACCATGTCATGCAACAATCACTACCCAACTCAACTAGTTATTGATTCACTCAGATTCAAACTCACCGTGATGAATCAAAGTTGTAAATACTACATAAATGTGTTTGTTTATGTCTTACGAGTTAAGAGTACAGAGTAATTAGTCGAGGCCTAGTTCGTTTACGCCGATCAATATAAAATGAATTGATCCTCTCAGTAATCCCTTCAATGCACAACTTACAGTAGTGCAACTAATCAGTCTAGACTGACTGTATCATTCTCACTACAACCGTTCAGATGGCTTGTTCAATTTCCATCTTGATTGTGAACCTTGCCTTTATGTTTCGCAAGTTAAATGATATTTTGTCTATCTGTGATAATACATTTATCTAAGTGCAAAACAATACGACATACATAACTTGTTTAATCAAACATTAATTCTCATTTGACATTTAAAGTGTAAATAATGTCTAAACCCAAGCTTTCAGTGTATACAATAACAAGGTTTTTGGAAAAATGGCTATCAAAAAATTAATTATGGCTTGACAAAAAGGGGCTACTGCCGGCGACTTGGCTAGGGGTTTCCGATGGTCCTTAGGATGGGGCCTTGGTCCGGCTAGGATGCTGCTAGTGGCGACCGGGGCACACTTGGGAGGCTGTTGTGCTGCCCGATTTACTCCTGGGAAGTTGTTGTGTCGCATGGCTCTCGGCTGGAGAGCGGATCGCGCATGGAAACGCCCGCGAGCATCGCACGGACAGATGACCGCAAATCAAATTTTCTCGGAATCGAACAAACTTGACCAATCCAGAAAGCTGACATCACGGCAAAGTCAACGGCGTTGACCGATCGAAAAACGGAGGTCTCACGCGCTCTCACGCGCGCGTGTAATTCTCGGCAGCTGCTCCCTTCCGGCAGCGCGTGGCGGCGCGTGCGGCGGCGGCTGGCGGCGATCTCGACGGCGATCTCTTCGTCTCGTCGTCCTGGTCGTCGTGGTATGGTCACTTGCTGGTTTTGGTCTCCGGTTTGGATGTATGATAGATCTGATTGGAATCCCGTATATACCTTAAGATCTTCTGCTGTATTCTCAAACAGCTATATAGATCTTGTATCAGTGGAGCACAAGAAATAGAACTACTCCTTGGAAGAGAGAGAG